TTTCTTTGTTACAGAATTGAAATTCACTCCAGGTATGTAGTTTTGATAAAGGTAAATCTCATTTCCTCAAAAGTGATAAAAGTGGACATTTCTCCTTGCTAATAGCCCTTCATTTCGTGATCTCATAATGTCGATCCATCTGTTCGCTCGACTGGCGTCGAAAGCTGGCAGCTTGTCTGGCGTCTTTTTCTGGCAGCTGGACGCCATGGCATCGCTGTTGGTGTCGCTGCCATGGCATCCTAGTGCGATACCGCCCTTAGTCCTCCAGCTTGGGGAGGAAGGTGTTAAAAAGCACCACCCGTAAAAAAAACATATTACAAAATGTTGCGCAAAAGGCCTCGCACTTGTCAAAAAGGTAATGAACCTTGTGGTTCCACAGAAAGCAGGTCATTTCTTGACCAGATTTGTGACCGCCTGTTTCTCAAGGATTCTATTTCTAAGAACTATTAGCCAGCAATATCGGTAGGGCGGTGTACGAAATTCCGCAGGAAATGTGTCGCAAAGGAAGTTTAACTCACCAGATGTTCACCTGACAGCACCTCGAGGAGGGAGATGAGGTTGTGTCCACTCCGTAGGTCTTCGAAAAGGTCGCCCACATGCCGGCTTGCCTAGAAAACAATGCATCTCGTGAGATAAGACAGTAAACATTACGACACTTCTGTCAACGATATCAGAACACTGCCATGTGTGCCGACACCGGACGGCAAAAATAGAATATGTACCTTCAATAAAATTTTCTCAGGCAATCAGCCGCGTCAACTGGTTACCTTATCATTAGGGTTCTGATGTCATCATAACCCTGATGATGGGGACAGACTTGGTTCCCGAAACGTCAGTTTACTACGGTAACCAGTTGACGCGGCTGATTGCCCGAGATTTTACTGACTGTACTCGCCGCGAAAGTCTCAAATCCAATATGTACTTTGTTTATAAATACAACCACATAGGTATAAGCCCAATTATACGAGGGTCGCTCATTAAGTAATGCCCCACATTTTTTTCCTCAGAACATATTTATTCAAGTTGGCTCAAATTTAGTGACAATATAAATCAATGTTTCCTTTACACATACTATTTTTCCACATAGTCCCCATCAACTTGTACGGTTTTACGCCAGCGTGGAACAAGTGCATGCATGCCTTGCCGGTACCAGCTCTTGTCCTGTGCACGTAGCCATGTCCTCACTGCTTGAATCACGCTCTCGTCATCTTCAAATCTTGTTCCGCGGATAGCATCTTTAAGTGGCCCAAAGAGATGAAAGTCGGAGGGTG